ATTAAGCAATGTGGAATAGGTAGGCTTGTCTTAGGAGCTCACGGAAATACACCAAATCAGGGAGTACAAGATGATATGGGATGGACATCATTTGAGGGCAGGGAAGCTAGCAGCAAGATAAAATTTGAGAAGCGATTGAGAGAAATGGGGGAGGAGCGTTGGGCTAGGAAGATATTCAGCTACTTCTACATGAAGAATGTCGATACAAAATGGAAGAAGCGGACCAGAAAATTGACTAGTAAATACTTAGAAGACAGCAGGGGGCCAAACCAAAAAGAATTAACGGTTAAGAAGAAGGTAAAGGAAGCTGATACCGATATGTGGAGAATTGGCATGATTAAGAAGTCCGTACTAGAGATCTATCGAACTTTTAAGCAGGAAATTGCCAAGGAAAGGATCTATGATAATACTCGGGGTAGTTCTCTACTGTTTGAGGCCAGAATGGGAGTATTGCGAACCAAGACATATCGGGCCAAATACGAAAGGGTAGACACGGTATGCAGTGCGTGTGGAGAGGAAGAAGAAACTGCCGAACACTTGCTAATGTTCTGGAAAGGGTTTCACCCTATAGTTCAAGATGATGGCGCAGAGGTTTTTAAAGCACTGGGGTTTAGGGACAGGGAAGGCAAAATAGACTTTAAGCGGGTAGAATTAACTAGAAGGAGGTTATCTGATTGGTGGCTAAAGTCAAGACACGAGTGAAAATTAAACCCTTCATTGCAAAGTACGAATCCTCAACCTCACTATTTAAAGAAAAAAAAAGTAAATCTAGTTATTGGTTCATTAAGTATTACGGCTTGGTGGCGCTAGCCACCGTCCGATCTAAAGGGTATAGCCATATCCGTCCGTCCGTCCGTCCGTCCATAGCGTCACCCAACAGCGAATGTGGTCAATCTTGGCAGTCCATTGGTAGGGCAAAAATTCCTGGCAGAAAGGTATAGTTTGCCTAAAAACAAACTTGTAAAACTTGAAATTGTATGTTATGCACTTAAGGCTGTTTTAGATTGCGCCAGAGCCTAATTTTCGCTTATTTTTTTTGCTTTTTTTTTTCTTGCGAGCACGGCGTCCACCGCTGCTCATGAGAATAACAAAAACGTGTTTCGTACTTAAAACGAGCATTAAGGTATTTGTTCTATTAGTTACCAAACCTGAAGAAGCCTACAAAAAGCGCACGCGATTTCAGTTTTGGAGCTTCACTGGCACCGACCATTGTGGGCATTCATCCCACCGAGGTAAGGAGACAGAACGCGGGCAGGAATATTCTGTTTTTAAAATTTCTACGCATATTCTAGATAAACCACTGCAAGGTTAGACACTTCACATGGTACGCTTTTTATGGCGACACAAAAGAGGACAGCAATGAAGGACGGTAGACAGTCCCCTTAATGTGGAACTTTACCAGCCGGCATGTATCGTCGGCAATGTTCTCAATTCTCTCATTCAGCGTCACTGCACGAACTTTGCTGAGCGCGTTGCTTCCTAGTGCTGAGAAGTCATCCCCCTTGAAATACGCTGCTTACAACTATTGCTGGGAAGTTCGTCTTCTGTGCCAATCAGCGCCCTTCTGTGAGACTCGATGGCCGCTCCGGAAAACCGTGAGGGAACACTTGATGATTATTTCTCTAAAGTACCCTGTGCAAGTCAACAAATGGAGAAAAAGCTACATTAGCCAAAAAAACTGTTCCCAGCTGTAGTTCTACACTGCCTGAATACGACTCGAGTGCCGAAACAACTCCACAAAACAAACGGGAGCACGATGCATGCACGAAAACCACGATTCCTGACAACGGCATTGGTCTTGACGTGTTTAACGGGCCAAGACGCCATGAGTTGCAGGACGACGAGACTAGACGACGTTTGCTAATAGCACCACAGAAACTAGGCACGAAATGCAGCTTTCCCCAGTCAGTTAGTAACTTAAATGTCTCGTGTATTGCAAATTTCAGGAAGGAGCTCGCTGCAAGACGTGTGCTTTTTTTGGAAAAGAAAGTTCAGGCAAGTTCTTGGTGCCTCTCTCCATTCAAACGCTGGAGGATCGCGTTGGGAAATTTTAAAAGCTACAACAATTGTGACTATACCACAAGTCCAATGCTCTATACGCGACGAATTTTCTACAAGCACTCAAAGGCGAGGCGATAGTCGAAAAGATGGAGTCATCAGTGCAAGCACGAAAAGAATTAAACACACGAAAAAACTGATCTCCATCATAGACTCTATGATATTTTTAGGAAGACAATGCAATTATGAGAGACGATTATGCATAACACAATATAATTATGAGAGGCACTGTAATGGGGCGCTCCGGAAATTTCACCACTGTGGCTCTTTAACGTTCACCTAAATCACAGTGCACAGGCCTCGAGCAGTTTTGCCTACATCAAAAATATGACAGCGATTAGATTCCGCGACTAGTGGGTCAGCAATGGAGCACCATAATCGCTGGACCAGCGGGGCGGGTAGTAAAAAAGACGATTTCGGTAAATTTACTATGCGCTACTTTTGTCCAACTGTAGGCGTGCAATTTCAACTAATTGAGATATATTGCTGAAAATCTCTTTCACACCGTGCCAGAGTGATTCTGTTCTATCTTTCTCATACTGCTCGCTTTTAGGTGGCACATTTTTCTCGCAGGCATGTTTTGCGGATACCAAAGGTGTGAACGTCAATGCAATAACCAATGTTTGCATGCAACCATTCTGCAGAATGCAGACAACAATTCTGCAGTAATATGCAGAATGAACTTCTTGTCAATTGAAAAAGATAATCAACATTGTTCTGCTGTGTCATGTGTCTGTTTGCTGCAAGACACATTACTTGCACAGGGCTTGTTTCACTTCTTATGGTAAAAAATGGTTATTATGTATTCTTTTAATTTTACATGATAACATTTCCACTCATGTATGTTCATTCTTTGCATTTCTAGTTCCGCGTTATTTCACTAGTTTTAGAAATCGCTTGGTGGGCCCTTCTAGTCATGTCAATGTAAAGGGAGGACTTTATACATACGACAAATTATATATATATATATATATATATATATATATATATATATATATATATATATATATAGAGAGAGAGAGAGAGAGAGAGAGAGAGCGTGTGTGTGTGCTGAGATGTTAGCAGAATGTGCGAAGGTTCAGTAGAAACCTTCTCCATATTTCTAGTGCTTGTTATATTGTCTGTGTCTTGTTCTCATGAAATATTACTCCTTCAGATTTTTAGTCTTCAGCACTTGTAATACTTCAGGCGTTTCTATATGTATAAATTTGGCTGTGCGTATGTGTATATTATTTTTCTTCGTGCTTTAAGGCATCAATTCTTTTTTGCCATTATTTATTCATATATAGAAGTTGCCATATTTTTGTTACATTTCTTGTATCGCCCATTTTGTATTCTTGCAAATTTGTTTATTGCAACTTTTTCTCAGTGTTTGCATACATTGTTTATTGTAATGTTTCCCACCTACCTGGTCTTCAATGACCGCAGTATTTTCTAAATAAAATAAAAATAAATGTTAGCCTCTAGCTTGAGTATATCTTAGCACATGTTCGAAGAAACACATTGTTTAATATGCTTGAATGTAACCTATCAGACATTGGAACTGTGTCTGGCTTTTATTATTAAAAGGAACGTCTGCCTAATGAACATTGTCGTAGTGATCGACACCGGCGAGATCTATTCCGGCGGGTACAAGTATATGACCACCGCTGCAGCAATAATCCTGTCGCCATGACTACCTAAAGGGATGGTGTCACCAAATTTCGAGGCTATCCCATGCCTGCTGTGGGTTTCCTCTGTATGCAAGGACTCTCCACACGAAGGGTCGGACAAAACAAACGCATAGAATATATTTTAATTCACTTTTAAAAGTGGAGCTGAATGCCCACTCTTACAATATAGACCCATTTCTTGCGCAGCAACACTGAAATTTCAGAATAGGAGAAGCAACGGCAGTTGTCGTAACGTCACACCAGATCTGTAATGACGAGTGTATTGGCATTCCTTGCCGAGAAGCTGTGCGTCCGTAAAGGACACTGGGTGCTTTCGAAAAGACTCTTGACGTGTCCTTGTCCGTCAAAGACGCCGCGCTAATCCGCCCCGTTCTCCTTCAGTGTGGACTGAGAGCCCCACCCGACATTTTCCTATGCTTGAAATAAAAAGTATCTCTCTCTTTCTCCTTCAGCATACGCCTATATAAGACAGCGCATCATAGCGTCAGGCAACTTCCTTGTCCACGTTTAGTACATACGTTGTAAATATAAACATTTCGTTTCCTTGATAGATATGTGGGGTCGAACGTCCCAATACCAACATATGATTATGAGAGACGTCGTAGTGAAGGGCTCCGGAAATTTCGACCATCTGGGGTTCTTAACCGTGCACCCAAATCTCAGCACACGGGCCTACAACATTTCCGCCTCCATCGGAAATGCAGCCGCCACAGCCGTGATTCGATCCCGCGACCTGCGGGTCAGCAGCCGAGTAGCTTAGCCACTAGACTACCCCGGCGGGGCACCGAATCGCTTCGAAGACGGATTACTCTTCTTCTTTTGTTGGCGCTTCAGTGTACCACTGTGTGTGCTTGTTTAGCTGTGCTCTTGCCTTTCATGGAACAGTGTATTACCCGTGCAGTCGCCTTCACACGCGGTCATCTTGGGCTTTCTGGCTATATGCGAACACACATGCCCCGCACTCTGGCTTATGGTCTATTTTACGAATGGGTTCCGGGTCCGCCATACTGGTCTGTTAACCTTTGTGTTCTGCATCTCAGCGTTACGGTGTACGCATCAGAACGATTTGGTTGGCGATGTGTCGTGACCTTCACGTCGCAACAAACAAAAACGAGAAAAGGTCAGATTAACTGCCCAAGATGGCAGTGCCCGTGTGTCTTATGGGCTGTATGTGTATACAGACAACACAAAGAAAAAGCGTTAGATGTACGTTTACGGACCTGAAGTGTGGCATCGATAAGGCGAAAGTGTTTTCATTGACGGTCGCAGCATGGCATTGTGGATGATCGACCAGTACGGCACCCACGAACAGAAGCAGAGGTGGCTGCCCGACCTGTGCTCCATGGAGAAGTGCGCCTCGTACTGCCTCACCGAGCCTGGTGAGTTGTCTTACAGCCAATCCAGTCAGGCTTTTTTCATATCGTTACAGGTCCTTTTCAAAAAAATTTCTGCGCTCGCCGCTCTGCCTGAAATGTTGCAGAAAGGCTGTACTAATGAACCTACTTACTCGATTAATTGATTACTAATTAACCCACTTACAGTGCCATGCGCCTTCACCACCACGACATAGTACATACTGCGGTTCGTTGGGTAATTTCCACGTCGGTTTTCGTCATTTGTGGGATCCCAGGTAGCGGCAGCGATGCGGCGTCCATCAGTACGACGGCGAAGCGCGACGGCGACGACTACATTCTGAACGGCACCAAGGCGTTCATCAGCGGCTCGGGCGAGAGTGAGGTGTACGTGGTGATGTGCCGCACCGGCGGGCCAGGACCCAGGGGCATCTCGACGGTGGTGGTGGAGAAAGGCACTCCCGGGCTGAGCTTCGGCAAGAAGGAGAAGAAACTCGGCTGGAACTCTCAGCCCACGCGCATGGTCATCTTCGAGGACTGCCGCGTTCCCGTCTCCCATCGGCTAGGCGAAGAGGGACAGGGATTCACCATCGCCATGGAGGGTCTCAACGGAGGACGCATTAACATCGGTGAGCATCAGACGTTTGTGCTGTACACACTTGAAGCAAGCTGAACTCCCTTTCACGCAATCAGATGGATCCTACTTTGCTTCTACATATAGCCTTTCAGTAAGGGTTTACCTTTTACTTAAATCACCCTTTAGGAGCTAAGAAGTGTACACAATATTGTTGACAGTTTTAATGACAGTGTTGTGGGTTACGAAACACCTATGATATATATGCGATGAAGGGCCATATTATTGTTGCTCGCCGATTTATCAGGCGAGTTTACATTAACACATGTGTCTCTCTTTTGTTTTTTTGTTTGTTTTTTGTTGTGGGAGGGGAAAGCAGTGTAGAAGCACACCATAAATTTATGCATATTGCGTGAATTTAGATTGTTCGGTTATACGAAACAAAAATATCCCCAGCAGTATCTCAACGGTGGCTCAAGATGGCTACATACACCTGATGGTCGGTGTCCAGCGTGAGCGCTAGTGTACATGAAGTATATTATTGTAGTGTGATATGCCTTTTGGGCGGCGCGCGGGAGCACAAAGGCTGAACTCAAAGTCTTAGCACTATTTTTCGGTGGTCAAGCCAATTCGCACTGACCAAAAGGAACTGCTTAGGAGCCGTTTTAGGGCCGTTTGATGCGTTATCCGCCCAGCCGCAGCGCACGCGCCGGCACACCTGCCGCACCCAAGCTGGAGGTGGCTGTAGGGAGGACCTGGTTCTCTCAGTGTGCATTACTAGCTGCCCTCCATCGAAGAATAACTAGCTTGTCTGGTCACCCCGGTGTTCCTTACGATGCCGTTTGTTTTTTCATCCCATGTCGGGACGAGCTGCTAGCGCCGTTCCACACGCGTTCCGCACAGACGCAACGCACGTGTTGGGACCCCTACCGCACGCAAGGGGGGACAAATGAGCTAATTGGCGATGCTATTTCACCCTCCGCAGCGTCACCAATTGGCTTATTTGTCCCCCGCTTGCGTGCAGAAGGGGTACCGGAACGTGCGTTGTGGCTCTGCGGGTACCGCGTGGAACGGGCCTTAAGCAGTACGTGCTTCTGCTCGCAGAGTGCTCCTACCAAGTGTGGGTGGCATGGTACTGTGCCATCGTCGATGGGAGACGACCTGGGCTTCACGAAGTATGACGATAGTTATAGCGCGAGAACAAAACGACGACACAGAGACAAGAAGGAGACGAAGGACATGAAAAAGTATGAAAGGAGGTCTGGTTCGTCCTCCACCGAGAGTGGCAGCACCTGGGTGCAAAGAAGTTTTACGAAACGTGGCACCGTCTGGCAGTGATTTTCAGTGAGTCGGAGGGCAGATAACCATCAATTTCGAGTTCCACGACACGGCCTAGTAAGCCGGTCGCTCCCGAGTTTAGCTTGTGTGCTTCTTCGCCTGGTTTTTGCATGCGATTCGGTGATCTTGTCACCTTGTCGGGCTTTACCCGCAAGGTCCGTGTTGGCCCCTTCTCCGTGCTCGGCGACTTTACTCGCCGAGGCAGAGATTAGCTCCTTTCTTCGCGAAGGGCTAAGCCGGCTGTTAGCCGTGCTGGTTTACCAGGGTACGTTAAGTTTGCGTGCTGCGGCATTTGCTTCTGCACTGAACAGTAGTCCCGTAGTCACCAAAGGACGGATTGTGTTTCGCTGGGCCCTGGAAGTCACGAGACGGGCCGTGACCGCAGCGCGCCCAACGCGCTGTGATAGCCCACCTAAAGCCCCTCCATCGCGTCCGCTGCCACTCAGGGTACGTCCGCTTTGCGTGTTGTGATTGAAGTTACCGCACCGAAGGGTAGCCCCTATGTTGGGTCTCCCGTCTGCCCGAAGCAAGACTTCCCCCTCACATGAGCTTGGGGGGGGGGGGGGGAGGACATGCCGGGACAGACGTGGATGGTGATGGGTTGATGAGTTACGCGAGATTCTGAGACAAAGCGCCTCTGGGTGCCGCGTCTCCTTCCTATCTGATAACGGCAAGCTGGAGGTGAAAATTTGCCCCCTGCTTGGGTGCGGCAGGTGTCACTGCACGTACATTGCGGCACGGCCAGGCTAGGCAGCACCTGGGCACGCTCGCAGGTGCAGTCTAGCCCGGCCGCGTATTTTGAATTGCTGGTTCCGCAGCGCATGCGAGAGAAAAAAAAAAAGGAGAGTGGAGATAGAGCCAGCGCCTCCGACAGGAGCGCTTGCTCACTATTGGTTCCTTGACGTGACGTGGCTGGGTGAGTGCACGTTTTTGCAAACGGACGCACGCACACAAAGAGAAATGCACGGCCCTTTTTGCGGCTGTTCCATCGTACGGAAACAACCACGCCCTTAGTGCGGCTGTTAACTTTTGGGGTGTATGGGGGCAGGGAAGCTCATAGTCAGCCCTTCACTTTGACATAACAGGCAGGGGTGCGGCGACGTGGGTGGCCAGGAGAGGGGGGAAGGGGGCAAGCCTTCACTCTCCGCCACTTGTACCCTGAAGGGGAACTGTGCACGCTTATGCCCACAGCTCACCACACACTTTTTCTACCTTTCCTTTCCGAGTCCTCTTTGCCATCTTTCTCAAGCAGCTAAGCTGAACCGTGCTTCCACTAGGGTTTATCAAACTTAATGGCACGGCACGCTTAACCAGCGCTTTTCCTTTTCGCATGTCAGATTTTTTTTTTTACTTTTTTCGACCATTTTATTCTCTCTCACTGTCTCTTTTATCCTTATACCCCTTATCGAACGCTCCTCCCTCATATCCTTACCGTTTCACTCCAACATTCTTGTTTTTTCTATTGTTTTTTTTTGTACTCATCCGCATGAGTTGGCGAAAACAGTGCCTGTTTTTCGGTGAATCATTTCATCATACGTGCCACTGGCACGGTGGACCCTTACGTGCGGTTTAATGTTCCAACTTACCATCTAACTATCGAGCTGGTTTCGATCAACAACGTGCTTCCAACTAGCATGGCGAATCTCAGGCACGTTTCGGTGAACGACGTCGGTCCAACTGACATTCGGGAGCAAATAGACGGGAGCAAATACCCATCTAACGCACGAGAAGGGCCTCCGCGCCGACATGTGCACGGACGGCGACGCGCACTGGTGAATCACCAGCTACAGCCTGGCAACAAGTACGACGTTGATAGGAAAACCGCTAATACAAAGAGGTAATTTTGATGTTGCCCGTTTTCTTTACACGTGGCTAAAAGCCTAGTTTAATAAGATTTTATGATATCGACGATCACTGCGGACACACTAATGCTACCAAACTACGTCTACCACATAGTTCTTGTTTACGCAGGGATAATGCTGGCTGTAAACGCATGGGGCTTATTTACTCACAGGGCGGATATGTGCGCGCTCGCTCACCATAATGAAAGCCATGGCGCTCTGTTAGTGATTGAATGTTGTCACAATATTGTGCACTAAAATCGCAGCTGAAGTGTGAAAATGAAGCTGTTGAAATCCGCGAAACTGTCAATGACTGGCATGATTAGCGCATTTCATACATTGTTTTTAACTGAAACCAAGAGCTTTTTCCGTTTTCACTGATTGCTATACGATGAGGCAGCATGCAGCACGTCTGTCCTGTAAGTAAAAAAGCCACACGTGTTTCACAACCAGCAGTATGCCCGCGTAAACAAGAACTTTGTGGTTGACATCGAGGCACATTTATTCGTTCGGGAGCACCCTGGAGGCACCGCAAAACTTCGTCAGGTGCAGAATTTTACCAATTACCAATACGTTGATCTCGAGGTAGTAGTAAACCAGGCTGGCTGCAGAAAAATTTTTGAGAGAGTCGCTTCTCAATGATCGTCGATATCATCAATTCTTATTAGACATGTCTTTTCACCCCTTGTGACGGAAACGGATAGCATGCGAACTCTTTGGATTTCTGGTTTCGCTGTCGATGACCCACGTCGTATTTGATGTCTGGTTGTAGCTGGTGATGCACTCGTGCGCGTCGCGGTTTATGCAGATGTCGACGTGGAGGCACTTCACGTTTAACAGTCGGAACAACTTCGCACATGGAAACTATCACTGCATTACCAAAACCAGTCGCAGGTAGAGCATCGACTCGGTGGCGCATTGGTGTGAGCGGCTGCCTGTTCTAAGGTCACCTTCCATACAAGGCAGCGAAGGAGCGAGGGTGCTTCCGCACGATGGAACAGCCGAAAACACTCCGTATGTGTGCGCGTGCATTTGCAGGTGCGCGCGTCAGCAGTTACCTGACCTTTAGAGGGAGGACCAATAGTGTGCGTGCAATCCTGACGAAGCAGTCGGCTTCCTCCTCGCTCTTCTTCTTTTCTTTCTCACGTGCGATAGAGCACCGGCATTTCGAAATAGGCACCCGACGATTCCAACAATGCTCACTCAATGGCATGTGCTCGCCTCCTCGCGACCGCTCACGACTACGTCCACCTCGTTCTCGTCGCTTCGTAAGCACGACAGCACGTGGTAAGTTCTTACAATGAGTGTTACGCACGGGTACTGATATCCTTCCAAGCCCCCACAGCTGCCTGCTCTCAACCCACTTGAAGAACGCTGGGTAGCTTCATTTATGAGCGGTAGGCATTTGGCTGACGACAACGGTCAGTATGGCATAAAGGGGCAGGTGGTTGACGTGCCGATCGACGGGGCCAACACTGTGCAGTGCCGCTGCAGATCATGCTCGACAAAAACACTGCCTTCGACCTACATGCACATAATACACCGGCTCGTTAGCAGGCATTCTTTGAGAAATGGTCTCGCCAAGAAACACCCTATGCACCTCCGAGCGAGCTCCTAGAAAATCATTCACTTTGGGCATATGGCGGTGATTTTTTTTTTTTTTTGAAAAGGTTGCATACGCGCGCTTTTCGTGTTGATGTCATCTCTTATTCGATTCCCCTTAATTGGTAGTTTTTACTTTTCACTGTTATTTTCTTTTCAGTTACGCTTGAACGAATGAAAACCACCCATTGTATGTATGTTTTCATTTGTGAAAATGTCTTTTTTCCAGGATGTAAAGCTGTTAGTTACACAGTAAAACTTCCTTAATAGAATAAACTGGTTACAAAAAAGGTGGCGGTTGAGCGAAATGCTGTGATCTAGTGGGTGCTTTACTGCTGAACTTCAGGTTGCGGGATTCAATCAAACTGTATATATTATTATGTATCGATTATGGTGAAATAAACCGAATCTCAAAACTACGGCTGCATTTTTGATAAAAGGCAAAAATGCCGGTGTATTTAGATTGAGGTGCAAGTTAAGTGAACCGAGGTTGTCGAAATTACCGACGCCCTCCACTACCGCGTTCTTTATAATCATATCGTGGTAAACCCCCAAGTATTGTTTTATTACATATGAATGCTTGGGTCTCGCTTGTCCGCAAGTAGATGCTTCATTACGCCCTCGGTGATAGCCCTGTTCAATTTCTCCATAGTTTTGAACGTGAAAGATGTTAAATAATATAGCTTGGTGACGTACACGTCAAGATGTTCTTTGTATGCTTGCGCAAGTGTACATAGTTGATGCAATTTTCGAATAAAGCTTACTCGGAAGTTAGCGCTCTGTCCTATTCTATTGGTTTGCTCGGCCATTTATTTTTTACCATAATGTGCTATACTAGTTCAAGTGCGACAAACCACCTTGCCCAAGCTTCAACACTTGTAAATATATAGCAGGCTCTTCTTTGTTTCAGCCTCTTGTTCAATGGGAGCTGCCGCTGCAAGCATCGACATCGTCACCGAGCACATGAAGGTTCGGAAGCAGTTTGGAAAGCCTCTGGCTTCCTATCAGGTACAGTCTGCGAAGAATTATAATTTCAACTATAGCGAATCAGGTATATGTGCCATGATTATACTGTCACGATGCAGAACCAGCAATGTAGGATACAGGACAGTGCACTTGAGTTATATGCAAGGCATTCGAGAGATGACCGAGTATAAACTTCGTCTTACGTTCTTGCAACGCGACCTCTTCGTTCTTATAGGTCTGCGGGTTCAATGCGGCATTTGTCTCTGCGAAAGACAAATGAAGACAATTTGAAAATGTCTCGCAACAGTTTTCATTGCTACAAAGCCCAAATTAGTGATCCTAACTGGCCCTAGTCAGGAGCACATTCTCAAGAGGTTCGACTACCACCGGCAGCGTTTTCAAACTACGCTGAAAGATTATTGCAGCGGAAAATTGTTTAGCGACGTTAAATTATTGAACCGGTGCTCACAGCACAGCCAGTTCTGCCTGGCGAGGATGGCCACGAAACTTCAGTCTGCCCGCCTGATGGTGCGCAAGGCAGCTGAGGCTATCGACCAAGACCGACCAGAGAAGGTTACCATGAGCGCCATGGCAAAGCTGCACGGAACTGAGGAGAGCTTCAAGGTGAGCACTGTTTCTCTCGGGTGTGCGTTTCGAGTCGTTTCGACAGAGCAGCTTATGAGAAGCTCACAGGATGATTGAGAAATGCCTCATTTAACGCGAAATGACAGCGAAAGCTTAGGATTAGCCTTGAATGCGATATACAATCCTTAATTCGAGCACTGAATGCATATTTTTTATTGTATGTTAAGTTGTTAAGTTTAAATTGTGGATTACTACAATGTAATTGACAAAGTTGAATGTGGCTTGCGTCAGTCAAGTTTTACCATGTCTTCATTTTCTTAAACGGTTAGCATGCTTTAAACCACGAGTGTAATTATGCACACAAAATCTTCTTAACCTATATATGCACCCACTACGTGGTCTTAAGCGAATACCCACAGTAACGTGCATGCCTTTGGTAAGGGGTTGTCGGCTTCAAACCACGAAGCCGCTATGATAATCACATTTTCTGACGACCTACGGCAATGCACGCTTGTGCTACGTAATATTATTGTGATATTGCCGGCTGTATTGTAAAGCCTGTACACAGAACGCATGTCTATGTAAAGCCAGAAAGTTATTATACATTGTGACGACGCGGGATCGACGAGCACACAGAACACCTCGAACAAATACACTTTATCGATCACAGGAAAAAAGACTGCAATGTCTTCTTCGTTTCCGCCCTCGGCCAAGGACACTCGCGCTGCTTCGTTGTCACCACCACTGGTATATACGCGCGTCAATATGGTCGAGCTCAATGCGGTGTGCGGCGTGACCTTGCAGCCTTACTACAGGTGCCCATTAGCTTGGCAGCGATTGCCCTGTTTCAGTAGGAAACACTTGTCCATCACTGCGTGCTTGGTAGCTCCCCAGATCTCACTCCTGCGAAACGCATAGATGAGAGCCAGCACCAGTGTAAGCGGCGTGCCTGCTGCTTCACATCCACACATGGTTCCCTTTGGCTGGAGATGGTGCAATTTTTTTCCACTGCATTCCGAGCTGAGGAAGTTAGTTTCATTGTATGTCCAAGCTCAAATGTGTCTATGTGGTATAACACCGGGTTGCCACGCAAGCCACCCGGGTTCAGTCCTCACTCTGGCGCTGATTTCTTTCTTGTTTCTTCAATCTTCTCAATTTTTCAGTCATGTACAAGATAATGATTTTTTGCTCACATCCAACAATGCCCAACACCAACAATTCCGGCGACGTTGTTGGCGCCGGAATTTCCGCGAAACGAACAGTTAACGTTATCGCGCTAATACTTGCTACCGAGCACGAACAAAAGCATAACTTTTGCGATATGATATTGCTACACTCATTCCTCAAGTTTTGTTATCGCTCCGTTGCACTAACTCTCAGCGCAAACCGCGCCTACAGTGTTCCAAAAGCTTCAGGGCTGTAGTAGCTGTTTTGTTAAGATTATTGGCATCGCTCGAACATTGCAGATTATTCTGGAACCTACGGGGCCACTAGCAATAACGTTAGAATATTCGACTGCGCATGCATAAATGCCGACGCGCTTCAGCATTTGTCGGTTGATCGACAGCCGACGCTTTGTTTGCCGCTATCATTGCTAGTGTGCATCGCTTTAATCTGATCATCTGTTTACCGGCCAGAAGTTTGGCCAAATAAAGAGTTTCATTTAAGACAAGCCATCTTTTCCTTCATCAGCGTCACGACCTCGTGACATCTGGTGGAGGTGCTTCCCGGTCCATGTACCAAACGCCCCCATCCCGCCGTGAGCTGAGCCCCAACCGGGAAGGTGGCACCGACACCAGCCGCAGCCAACGAGGGCTAGATCCTAAGTTCAAGCCTCTATCGGATAACACACGAAAGACCAACGCCACAACCATAACTGTGGCAACTATGACAGCCACTGTACCGTTACCCGTTACCGTTGTGATGCAGCTGCCAAGAGAGCCACATAGCTTCCACGGATCCACTGGTGACCTGGCTGGAGAGTATACGACTGAGTGGCCACCATCAACCACTGGGACAAAGAAAAGAAGCTTCGTCGCGTCTACATCTACCTGCAAGACGCAGCAAGCAACTGCTTCAAGAACCGAGAGTCTGGACTTCTAACGTCGGATCTCTTCCGTGGCATATTTCTGGACATGTTAAAGAGCATCGCCCGTAAATAAAGGGCCGCGACTTTGCTAGAGACAAAGTTACAACTCCCGAATGCGAACGTGATTATCTTCGCTGAAGAGATGACCCGGCTGTTCTGTCACGCCGACCCCAGCATGCCCGAGGAGAAAATGTTCCGTGTTCTCATGCGAGAGGTCAAGCAAGAACTCTTCGTTGGGTTAATCCAAAACCCACCGAAGTACGTCCAAGAATTTCTGTTGGAGGCAACATCGATCGAAAAGACGCCAGAAATACGAACCTGCCAGTACAATGCCCTAATGATGCAAGGTAGCCCAGATCTTCATGCTCTCGGCTCCCATGACCTGCGCGAAGCGATTACGAGCGACCGTGAGAGAGGAACTGCGGAAGATGTTACCCTCATCACATGTAGCCGCAAGTGGACTTCATCGCCGACATCGTTCGGGAAGAAACCCAACAATGCATCTACTCCCCTGAACCATGACAGCCACAGCTGCAAGCCATGAGCTACGCTCCACCTCCACGTCAAATGCCACACCGTCGCAGTTTTATTATCCAGAGCTCCTTGATGTGGTTACGAAAGTATTCACCGAGACACGTTTGAAATATATCTGAACAAAAAAAAGATAACTCGTGATGCACATTATGGGCAATTGTTACATTATAAAATAACTATATTGGTAAGATGACTCACTGATTTCCTTTGGACAGCAAAAAGAACACGAGTTACCATTCATGGGTGTATGATATTGTCACACCAAAACGAGGATGAATCGACGTGTACGAAAGGATGAAGAGCAGGTCGCGAAACACTGTGTTTAATTGGGCTGACCTGCGCCCGAAGTCAAAGCAAAACCAAGTGTCGCACAGTGCACAACAAGTGTCACCGCATCTACGGCGGTGCTCGCTTCAAGAAAAGGAGTGTTTCCAAAATGAAACCTGGCACAAAGTACGCAGATCACACGTTCTTGGTGGCTTCAGATACACACTTCCTACACGCGTCACAAGCAATGCGACAAGAATGGCAAGTGATCACGGCATTACTCCCCTTTTAAATAAGCGTCGACTCGATGCTTAAGAACAGCAAACATGGAAAGCAGAGAACAGTGCTCTACCTCAGAACGCAAGAGAACACAAGGAAGAAGAAAATTTGCACTTCACATTGCAAATAGCATAGCTTATTAGCATGTAATAAGGCTTCAAGCGCACGACAAGAACAAGTTCTGGGCAAGCACGACGCTGTTGCGTAGTCGTTATCGTAAACTTCATAGTCCAGTTCACTAACACGACGTACGACCTTGAAAGGTCCAAAACAGCAGCACAACAACTTTTCGCTGAGCCCTCGGCAGCGAATAGGGGTCGAAACTAACACTTGGTCTCCCGGTTTCTATTCCGTATGGCGGCAGCGTAAGTAGCGTCGAGCGTTGGTGCACTGTTCATCCTTAATCCGTAGACGTGCCAGTTTTCGGGCTTGTTCTGCTCGTTGCAAGTAAACGGCAGCGTCGTGGTTCTCTTTATTTATTTTATTTATTTATAATGTACTGCTAGCTTTAGAAGGCTGTAAGCAGGAGTGGGGGTACAAAGGTGAAGGAATACATGCATACTTCGGCGACGTCTGGGAGCATGGTGTCCGACGTTGTATCTGTAACCCTGCCGTAGACGAGGCTAGAAGGGGACATCCGTGTAGTCTCTTGCATTGCAGTATTGAAGGCAAATACGACGTATGGAAGGATGCTGTCCCAGGTTCTGTGTTCTGGATCGTATACATGACTAGCATGTCAGCGATTGCTTTATTCAGTCGTTCCACGAGGCCGTTTGTCTGGGGATGATACACCGTCGTTTTACGGTGACTGGTTTGACTGGTGCGGGATAGCTTGCATTAATTCAGCTGAGAATGCTGTTCCCCAGTCCGTAATTAGAACCTCGGGGGCCCCATGCCACACAATGATGCAATTAACGAAAAACTTTGCGACCTGTTTTGCTGTTCCGTTCGGTATGGCTTTTGCTTCGGTGTAACGGGTCAGGTAATCAGTTGCTACGATGACCGTTTTATTTCCAGAAATTGACGTCGGAAAGGGCCGAGGAGGCCTATTTCTGTCTGTTAAAAAGCCTTTGTTGGGGGTGGTATGGGGTTCAGAAGTCCGGCTGGCCTGGTCTGTTGTCCTTCTTCGTTAGCATTCACGGCAGGTCTTTACGTACCGCGCAACGTCGGTGTGAAGATAGTTATAGCGCGAGAACAAAATGACAACACAGAGACAAGAGGGACTTGAAAGACACGAGCGCTATCGACTCTGTTATCAAATGTTGTACCGACATTCGTCTACATAGAGTAAAAAAGCAGGCCAAGGAAATGTGTCGTAAACTAGAGTTAAAACAGTTAGCGCAGCACATTAGCGAAACTGACAAAAATAACGCTCGTGTCTTTCATGTCCTTCTTGTCTGTGTCGTCATTTTGTTCTCGCGCTATAACTATCGTCATGCCATACCAACTAGCCCAAGCTGCCACACCTCGGTGTGAAGTCGTGGCCAGTAGAATCTTTCTTGAATTCAGCGAAGAGTGCGGGCATATCCAAGGTCCCCAGCAGTTGGTTCGTCATGGGAGGCCTGTAGAATCTCTTCTCTAAAGCTGCTGGGAACGACAATGAGATAAACGGTCTTGTTGGGCACAAAATTCTTTACCATGATATCGTTGTGAACACATAAGGATGAGATTCCCCACCGTTGGTGATGCAGTCCTGCCTTCCAGATATTCGTGGATGCACTTAAGGCCAGGGTCCGAGTGTTGCTGCTGCGCAAGGGTGATGCTGCTAATAGGTCCAAGGAATCTGTCATTGACGTCGTCATTCTTTGGTGGTTCATCGACAGGGGCCCTTGACAATAAGCAGTCTGCCTTCGAATGCTTCCTCCCAGAC